GCCGCCTGACTTCTTTCTTCGCCATGGTTCCGCTTCTTTTGCCGTACCGGCTTCTTTTTCGGATCCACAGCGAGTTTATGTACTGCCAGATCAGGACTAATGCCTGGCATTTCATGGAATTCAAATGCAAAGATGTCCTTGTATTCTTTCAATAGATTGTGAAAGTCGTCACCAAGGTTTCTCAGAGCAGTCGTCCCAACTTTGACTGTTCGGTCAGGACGTGAGTCGTCTAAGATCAGGTCCGCATGCTCACCAGCCGGCTGAGGGCGGAACTCATCCGACCGCTCCTCTGCCAATGATTGCTATTTTCTTGCTTTTCTTGCGGACTCTGTCTGGGACGCCTTTCTCTTTTTGTCGCCTGTTTCTTGAACAGGCGCACTCTCCTTGACATTGTCAAGGTCTGTTTTTTCTCCACTTGACCCAGTGGCCATAACAGTGGGCTTGACATCCGAGAGATAGCACTCTCGGGCCATCCTCTGATCTCCCCTTAGGGAGCCGACTGTTCCATTATCCCTCTCAAACTTAAGCAGCATAAGAGACGGGATTATAACAGCCTTGGAATTATTCAGGGTTGGTCGACCCAGAATCATGTTGTAGGCCGAGAGTTCCTCTACTACTAGGAACCGGACTACCATGTGTCGTCCTTCCCCTTTTTCGCCCAGGCGAATTGGTAAATCTACTCGTCCCAGTGGGTGGACGACTCCTCCTCCAAACCCTATTAAAGGGTGGGAGGCCGGATGTATGCAGTCCGTCTGATATTTCAGTTTTGACAGACATTTGCTGCTGATTAGATCTGAGGAGCTCCCGGTATCTATGAGGATTCGGCCAACTCTCTGGTTGGCCACTTTACATTCAATAACGAGAGGGTCGTCATGCGGCCCCCTTACCCCTCCTAGATCCTCTTCAGTGATGACAATCTCAGGAAATGTATATTTGGACGGCCGTTCTTGGTGAACGGAATTTACATCTAACCGCCTTATATTATCTTTGTTGCCCCTAATAGTGGGGCCGCCTCCTGAGAAGCCGCCTGCAATGGTGTAGACGACTGCATCATCTGTATCGGAACTGTCGGCCTGTTGATTCTTTTTGGCCGACTGCTTTTTTGAGGAAGTGTTCCCCGTAGATTTCTTGACATAAGTGTCAAGATCACCTTGCTCAGCCAAGCGGTCTAGGTACCGCATGAGACTGATGCAGTCATTGGTGTGATGACCAACGTCATCATGATAAGCACAGATTTTGTCTTGGTTCCGGTTGTTTGCAGAACCCTTCATGGGGACCGGCTTCTCAATTGAGAACCGTCCCTTTATTTCTTTTAGGATAAACTGGTTATCCTTGTTAAACACATACTTTGGGGAGTATGGTTTGAATTCTTTTTTCTTTTTCTGGGCCGGCTGTTTAGAGGAATCAACCGCCCAGACCTCTTTTCTTTTCTCATCTTTGTTAGACGACTGTTTCTGTCGTCCTTCTCTTTTGTCGAACCTTTTCCCGTCCGACTGTTTTATCGTACACAGATCAGTCGCCTGTATATAGGCTTCTGCTTCAATCAAGGCCTCTTGAAGAGTCGCCACCCTTTTTCGAACTAAATCAAATTTGAAGGTAGACCCGTCTTTGAGACCTCTAAAAAAGTCAGTATAAGCTACCTCATCCGGTAACCCTTGAATCTGTATTCTCATCAGGTTGAACCGCCTGATGTAAGAACAAAGCCCCTCCTTCTCGCCCTGCTGAATTGTTCCCAAACCAAGGGTCGTTTTCTTCGCAGGGATGTTCATGGCGAAGTTGGAGGCAAATAAGTAAGCAAGCGTCCTGAAGCTGTTTACATAACCAGTCGACAGGTTGCCGAACCATTGCTGTGCGATTCCCTTGAGAGTCGCTGGGAAACACTTGCACCAAGTGGGATCATCCAACCCTTGAAGGTACATCAGGTTGGTGAATGCCATCAGATGGTCTTCTGGGTTAGTAGTGCCGTCATAGGCGCCTACTAGTACATTTTTTACTTTGGCCGGCTGAGCGGCTTCAGTAATTTCCTTGGAGAAGGCCGACGGCTGTTCACCAAGTCTAAGCAACCGTAGCTGCCAGTCCATAGGTTGGACGTTTTTTGCTGCAGGTCCACCAAATGGAGGTGGCTGCATAAAATACTGTTGTTGCGGCACAAATGGTAAGTTTGGTACCGCCTGGGCACTATGAAAGCCGGACTGACGGGAGGTGCCGCCTGACTGACTCTCATGGTACGACTGAGTATGCCTCATCGAGGCATTTCGCAAACTGTCTTGAAAATTTGAAGTAGAAGCCGACTCTGACAATCGGTCACTCTTCTTCTGCTCTAGCAGTAGCCGAGCATCTGTGAACGTTTGCTTTGACCCGTCCGCCTGAATATGACGAACCGGTTTCCTATTTCCCGTAGGATAACGGAATTTTGTGAAATCAAGAGCAGGTGGCTCCCGCTTCTTGGATTTAGGATGAGGAGTCGCCTCTCGCCCTTGAACTGGCTTCCTCTTCAGTGAAGTGGAAGGTTTTTTGGCCGACTGCTCTTTGACTGAAGCAGGCGGCTTTTTGTTGATCAACTCTTGAATCTCTCCCTTGAAGTCCCTCATGAAGGTCATGAGTTCGTTCCTTGTGATGGGAGCAGACCCATCAGTCGGCTGTTGCCGAGCAGGCGGTGCGCCTGCTGGCTCGCTTCCTGTTTGAAGATGCTCCCGTTCCCTCCTTTCGGTATGACGGGTACGTCGGGCCCTTAGGGTCCCGTCTGGAGCTGTATGAGTTTCCACTTCAAATTCACTTTCGGTGTCATGATCCGACTGAACTTGAGGGTCGTTTAGGGGACGCCTCTCTTCAGGAGTCGGTACAGACTTGGATGCCATCTCTGAAGTACTCTCCCCACAGACGGCGCCAAATGTTTCGGGGTTTTCTGATGTCCTGCGGGAGAGTTACAATTCCGAGACTGGAACCGGACGCCTGTACCTGCAAAATAACGGAGACTCCTGAGAGCTCCGCCTCCAACGGTCAAGTTAGTACCTGATTAAGGAGTAATTAATACGGAAATTAAAGTAATAAGACCTCTCTAGGTGAGAGTGTTTAATGTTGGTAATCGGCTTTGTTAGCGAGATTAGCCGGTTATTAGTGTTCCGTAATGTTTCTGTTCTTCTCTGTTCTTCAGGTGAGATTAATTGCTTGATCAATTGCCTCTCAATTGCTTGATCCCTTTTAATGAGGATTAATTAAGTATTTATAGTCTTGAGAAGCGTGCCACTCTCTAGGTTTAGGGTAAACCTAGGGCTGACCGGGCCTCTAGACAGGATTGGGCCTTGTTGGCCGGTTTTCCCATTTGGCATGGGTGGACACGTGGCGTGCCTCGATTGGTCCGTAGAGGACGTATCTGTGATTGACACGTGGCAGGCTCCTATTGGCCTTCGTGAAGGACACGTGGCGGAACCTGGTTGGTCCACTTGTCAGACGGTGATTGGTGGATAAAAATCCCCTAATCAATAACTTTAACACCAAAATTATGGAATAGTTACAAACAATTGTCAATTATTACTTTATTAGACTAATGGGAAATTGAATAATCGTGATTTTAATTAAACATCCAAATATAGTTCTGTAACATTAAATTATTAGTTTATTACAATATCAATTATCGATTTATCGTATTCAAAGTACCAATTCATCAAATCATGGTTATGACGCGATCTTTAAAACAATTAAAACAAGAAGCTGATAGCCTGATAATATTTGATAATGAAACAATAATACATTAATACCTTATAAATTTGTAATAGACTAATATTTAATAAACAACAACAACAAGACTATAACCAAATTTGAAACATAACACATTAACATGATATAGAATGAATGAGAATTTATGTAATTCTATATAATCTGATATCTGAATCGATTTATCGTATTCAAAGTAGCAACTCATCAAAACATGGTCATGACACGATATCTAAAACAATCCAATAAGAAGCTGATAACCTAATAATATATATTTAATAATGAAACAATAATACATTAATACATTATAAATTTGTAATAGACTAATATGATAATATCGAATAAACAACAACAAGAGTATAACCAAACTTGAAAAATAACATATTAACATGATATAGAATAATTGAATAAATGAAGATTTGTGTAATTGTATATAATCCGACGTCTGAAAATAAAGTGACGAAGTCCCAACTTTATATAAAACGAAAATAGCTAACCGGTCAAAAATCTCTTAAAACCCAATTTCTACTCGATCCATTATTTTTTTCACCAACCTATGCCGACCCGCTAATGAAATGGAAATATTAGTCCCAACTTGATATAAAACAAAATGCGCTAACTGGTCAAAACCACTTTTTAGAACTCGATTTCAACCCGATCCAATTAACCGATTACCAAACTAACCCAAACGATTTTAGCACCAAACCGAGTATAAACCGAACCGATATGAATCGAACTAGCATTAACTCGGGTAAACCCGCCCTTGAACCGACCCATTTCAAAATAATCTGTTCATGACCCGAACCGATATGAACCCGGACCGACGTTGACCCGGTAAAACCGCCCCTGAACCGATCCGTTTCAAACCGGTCAGATCATGACCCGAACCGTTTATAAACCGAACGGGCATTGACCCGGGTAAACCCGCCCCTGAACCGACCTGTTTCAAACCGACCCATTATTAACCGAACCGTTTAAAAACCGAACCGGCATTGACCCGAGTAAATCCGCCCCTAAAGCGACCCGTTTCTAACCGATCTGATTATGACCCGAACTGTTTATAAACCGAACCGTTTATGACCCGAACCGAATTTAAATCGTACAAAAATAAACCGAAACCGAACCGACATGTGACTAATCAAAACCGAACTGAACCGACCCGCCGTCTAAATGAAACCGTTTTAACCCGAACCGTTTCAAACCGAAACCGTTTCAAATTGAGGTCAAACCGAACTGCCAGACCGATGTCCCACCCCTACTAATGGTGTTACCGGTTTTATCTAAATATTACAAATTTGTTATTTGATTTACATATCTCCTTCGTTTTGGATTACTCGCAGCATTAAGCTAGACACATAATTGATGAAAAAAACAAGGTAAAGGCTAAGTGAGGGTTATACACGGATGAAAAATAAAAGTGTTGCAATTAATCAGAAACAGAAGGAGTATTCCGTTTATCAGAGAATAAACCGGGCTTGCTCCCATTACTAGTGAAGAGAGAGAGAGAGAGAAAAAAAAAAAAACTAATTTTAGCACCATTTCCATTTGCAAATAACATTGTCCAAAGAAATTGAAATCAATTTTCCCGCAAATTGTGATAAGCCGATTTAAGTTGGTTATTATTTCGCACTTAATTTTCACACAACCAGTAACTCAGACACCCCTCTTTCTCTATCTCTGCGAATCATTCAGAAATCGGAAAACCTAAAAGCGGCGCCGAATTACTCGCCGGAAACCTAAATGCATTCTTTCCGGCAAATCAACTTTACTTTGAGACAAATGCCTCTTCGTATCAGGTTCTTCTCTAATTTCTCTTACTTTTGATCTCATCTTCTGTAAAATTTTGCCTCTTTTTTTTTTTTTTTTTAATTTTTATTTACTTATTTAATTTCAATTGTTTGTTTTATCGTATGTTTAATGTGAAATTCTGAATAATTTAGTCAAAATTAGGTTGTTACCTTTGATTTTATGCTGTATTTGTTCCATTTTTCTATAATTAGTACTTTGTTTAATTGCTTTTACAACTAATTTTTGGCTTCATCTTTAACGATTGCTAAAAATTAATATGATATCGCTGAAGAATTTTAGCCGTTTTTTTTTTTAATTTACTTTTTAAAATTAGCTCCTTTCATATAATTGTACACAAATTGAAGAAACTGCTGATTGATATTGGTGATTGACGAAGTTAGTCAATCAAGTGGCACTTTCGTGATATATATATATCGAAAAAATAATATATAATCAAAATGATTTTAGTGTACAATTTACATATTTGTGTACTCTTTTATTTTACAGTTGTAATTATTGAGTATACTATCACAAAATATAGATTGGTTTTGGTTGTTAGTCAAGGAGATTACATGGCCAAGACTTTTAACTACTTGCTTTAGTTTCTATGAAGTGATGTTATCTTGGCAATTGAATATGACAATGTATTGTATATAGTAAAAAATGTGGATACAATGATGTATCATATGCAACAGGTTTAGTAAGTACTAAATAATTTCTTTTAATGATGTGTAGCGAAAACTGAAATCCAAATAGTACTAGGTCTAGCTGTAAGGAATTTGTCCACTTTAGGGGTGGGGATTGCCTTGTCCCTTTCCCCTCCCCCTCCCAAAGGGCTGGCCCAATAAGGTTGAATTGGGGTATCTGCGATGGGAGTTGTTTAGTCGAGAGATTATGACGTAGTTAATAATGAAATAAACGTTGCTAATATCGGAAAAAGACAAAGTGCCTTAAAAATGTTCTATAAGATGGAAAAGCTACTAAAAGAGAGATTAAGATGATAAGGATAGTAAGAGTTTATCATAAGCTTCGGTGGTAGTTTTATTGACAACCCTAAATATCACTAGTATGTGAACAAGACTTACCTTAAAACATGTCAATAAAGAAGGGAGGTAGTGTCAAATACACACGACACATTCTATTTGATGGTGATGCCACAAACCTAACATAACTCGTGGGCTTTAGTTTGTGGTAGGGGACGGTTTGATGTATTTCCTGGCTTGCTGGCTTGCCCTTACAGTTTAAAAGAGAACCTCTTTGTAAGTCCATGATTGATGATTGAATCATCATCAGTCAAGTTACGCATCAAGATGTGTATGCTAAAGAGTCTAACCTTTAAACAATCATGACAACACACTGTACCTGTTATACGCGCCAGCAAAATTGGTGTTTATGTTGGCATATGTGGATTATCGAGTACTTACAGTCGTGATGGAAACATTATTAGAGCCATTTCCATTCCCTTGTTGAGATGACCCTTGATCTGTATGGAATTGGCTAAGAGTGAATCCAGGCTACTTTGGACTTGGTAGATTTGGTATATTACTTTGAATCATGGAGATAACCGCAGTAATATCTGGCCTGTCTCTTGGGAATTGTTGTACTCACAAAAGGGCTACATGTATGCACCTTAAGATTTCTTCATGAAAGCACGGGTCACTAAGTATCGCTGAGTCAATCAGTAACATGATTTGTCTCTGGTTTGCTGTACTTACATAGCCTAAGAGGCTCAAGGACTTTTCCTCATATCCCAAAAGCTGCTATTCCTTTTTCCACTCACAATCTCCAATAGCAATACTCCGAGGCTCAAAACATCTGACTTTTCAGAAAAACGACCTTCCATTGCGTATTCAGGAGGCATGTAACCACTGAATGATTTACAAAAATAAAATCAATATTAGTAGTCATTTATTAGTTCTACCAATATAAATGCTTCTAGTAAAAAAAAATAAAAAAATGACAGTACTAACTATGTTCCAACTATTCTTCTTGTATTGGCTTGATCTTGGTTGCTTCCAAAGATCCTTGCCATACCAAAGTCTGCAATTTTTGGATTTAAGTCTTCATCAAGCAATATATTGCTGACTTTTATATCTCGATGAATAACTTTTAGTGTGGAGTCCCGGTGAAGGTAAAGGAGGCCTCGGCATACTCCTCCAATGATTTTGAAGCGTGTCTTCTAGTCTAGAAGTTCTTGTTTTCGTGGATCTGCGTAGTTTAACCAAACAAAACTCACATGTATTAGATTAATGATCTACTGTTTTTTTCTAAAATAATTTTTTTGTAAGAAAAAAACTGATTGCTTTCTTGGAGTAAAAGTTAAATCCTTTGGGGGAAATTAACTGCTACTGTAATACTTTGTAACTGACCAAACAGAAAAGAGTCCAAGCTTTTGTTTGGCATGTATTCGTATATCAATATTTTCTCTTCTTCTTCAACACAGCAACCTAGAAGTTTGACGAGATTCCGATGCTGGAGCTTAGAAATAACTGCTGCTTCATTCAGAAACTCTTCCAGACCCTGGCGAGAATTTTGTGATAGTCTTTTTACAGCTATTTCTTGACCATCTGCCAATTTTCCCTGTAAATGGATTTTTGACTTTTAAATTTCTCTTTCATACATCTGTGTAAGTAGTAAAGAACAAAAGAATTAATCTTCCAAGCATATTACCCTAAACACTTGGCCAAAACCACCTTCTCCTAGCTTGTTGCTTTCCTGAAAGTTGTCTGTTGCTGTAGCCAGCTTTCTAAACTCAAAGAATGATAGCTCTTCGAGGTTGACTAGAGCTTTATTGTTGCCAAGCATGTTCAACAATGCTTTATAGTTTTCAGTTTTCTTTCCTGATGCATGTTAAATTTCAGAACTTATAGTTCAGAACAGAAATAACAGAAGAAAAGAGGTGTCATCTGCCTTAAGGCTTCCAAGTCAGTTATGCATGTCTGTATGGTATAGATACTCCATAATTTATACAATATAATTATGAGATATTTGAAATCTTTGCGTATTGATATTTTATTATTATATATGGAGTATGTTGTGTTCATTATATATCTATCATCTTTCCATCAGCTGCATATTTACTTCTTTTTTTTTAATGCTGAGCCATGTAAAAATAATTGATTGCATCTCATATGTTGGTTATTGGCTAAGTATGATATCAATTTGGAACATATTTAACTCTGTTCTTCGTGGAATGATGGTTTGTGTCAACGATAGAATTTAACTTTATAATGAATGTTACCTTGTTTAGACTTCCTCTTACACAAGAAGTATACAATAGCTACAAGGGTGGCAGTCACTGAAGCTCCTGTTACTGCTATAATTGTTTTTATTTTACTGTTATTACCTGAAAACAAGAATGAATGTGTCTGCATGAGTGAATTTAGCTTCATTTCCTACTGCATGAAAGAAGAAAAATGCTAGAGAAACTGTAACTTTTCATCAGTAAAATTTTTTTAAAAAGCAGGTTATTTCTGAAAATTAAGAAACTTTTTGAATTAGCAAATTTTAAATTGATCAGTAAATATTTTTGTTAAAAGAACTGGACCTAATAGAAAAAGTTTTCCTACCTAGCTCTGAGGACGCCAGACAATGGTAAAGATCCGCCCCACTAGTGGAAAACTCTTGTGTGTCTATCAAGTTTCTGCCCCAAGACATACACCCCACACCAATGTCATACGCATAAGCTAAGCATGAACAATTTCTCAAGCAGTGGCTTCTGCACCTGCTTTCATCTAATCCTGGTGATCACTCAGTATTTGCTGGCACTTTCATCATCTTTAGCCTTAAAAACACATCATCTTTTGCACCTTTTACTCCACATTGAAGCTGCGTCCTTCGTGTACACCCGCTACTCCAGATTCCTTTGTCCCACTCTTCTCAGTTCTTTGGGTGAAAGCCCTTCAAACATTTACAAACTGGAAATTGGAGAGAATTGCAGCTTCCAAATTCTCCACACTTTCCGTAAAAGCCACACTCTTTTTCTGGGGTCTGCCACTAAACTTTCCAACTGCCATTAGTATCATCCCAGTACTGTTGGATAAAATTTCCTTGGTAGTCTAATTCCATGTTTGACAACGAATTATCGGGGTTTGAATACACCACTGTAATGGTTCCCTGGCCATCATTTTGAACACTCAATCCATGACTATGGAAGTCAGGGTAATTAACCTGTATTCCAATAAACATGTTACCATTCCAAGGCCCGCTTCTCCAATATGGGTGATCATTGTTCCCTATAATAAACTCAGGGAGAACAACAGAATCAAGGCGAAGAGAGAACCTTCCTACAGAAGGATCCGATGGGCTTCTCCAAGATTGTAAAAGAGGATTTCTATAGGTTTCTTTGTTGAAAGTCGTACTCATTTTTGGAAACATAGTGTTGGTGGGGTGAACAAAACTTTGCCATAATATTGTACTATTAGAACTGAGTAATACCAAGTTTCCAGAATCTTAAAGCTGAGCTTTTGACAAATTAGTGGCCCTATGTGTGACATTTGACTGCCATAGGATCTCTTTCTGACCATTCAACACCTTTAGATTGCCGTCCTCTGTGATCTTGAATACACCTGAAGAGTCATTTAGCGGGTTGTTTCTGTTTGCAACCCAAACAACATTCATCACTGAAACTTTGTTGTACCAGATGCCGACATAGCGATCTGTAGAGTTTGGTGGGCTGAAAAGGGCCAGCTTGAAAGTACCATCACCGGATATTATGGTTTCTCCATCATGAATGAACTTTTTCATTGTAATTCTGTCATTAGCTGTGGAAATTTGTATGCTGAAGTAAGAAAAGAGAAGTAGTACATAAATAGATGGCATTGTTTTTATTCATGTGTAGGATGGTTTACTCTGAAATCCTAGTTGGTGCTAAGGAAAGAAAAGCTGATGATATCTCTTGCTCGTGTTGCAGATTTAAATTAACCAAGAGCTAATAACCAGTGCAGATATTTATACATAAAGGGTCAAAGATCTTGACTTTTCTTGTCACATTAAGTGGTGGGCCGCCTTATTGTTTTAATAAAGGTATGAAGAATTATCAAGCGAGAATTCTTCAAGATGATGCAAATGAAATGAAAACTGATGCAGCCTGCCAGAATCCAAAAAAAAAAAAAAACAGACAAACAAATCAAACAAGGTATGTGGCTACAATTAGTTTTGTGCATTATTTGTTGTAAATCATATGCCCTCATCTATATATATATATATATATATATATATATATATATATATATATATATATATATTATTTTAGAATGTTTGAAAAAAATCGTCGCATTTCTTATCATAGTAATGATTTATGATTGGATTGTTCATCTCAAATTAGGATGGGAGAATTGAATAGTAAATCAAATATGGTTAAGAGTCGTTATGTGAAATCATGTCTTATCCTTAATTATGTGGAGTTGAGACAATGTGAATAACTAATATCAAATGTAAGGTTTAGTTTTCTATATCTATGATAACGTTGACTGACAAATTCTATATGGACTTTGCCAAGTTTTGCATCCTTTCTAGATTGAGAAATTCTATCTCCATGCAGAAATATTAGTTACTATGTCATAAGCCTCATAGCCTCTCATAATTAAGACTGTGACTTGATTTTATAAAAAGAACTTTTATGCTGCTCCTTTTGTTCATTTGTCATTGATTTATTTATTTCTAATTTTACCTATTCTGATTATCTTACACAATTTTTTGGGTTTGACTTACTCACTTTACCTTAGAGACTTAGAATTTATCCACCATTTTTCTTTCCCACATTCATTTTTTACTCTCTTTCTCTCTCTCTTTTATTTTGGAATTTTCCCTGGTTTACAGGTCTACAGCGGGTAGAACCAAAAAAAAAGAAAAAAAAAAAATAATTAAAAAGGAGTTCTAGTTGCGTCTCGAGTTTCAATTCTATCTATCCTAGTCACTAAATTTAGGTGTTGCATATTATGAAATCTGATCGTGAATCATTATTATTTTTAAGAAAGGTGAGAACTTTTTTCAGACATTTTAAAATAGTGTACAAGTCAATAAATTCTAATTAAAGGGAGTTGCAATTAATTTCTTTATTTACGCACATGTACCTTTTGGATGTCTCTTTTCTTTTTTATTTTAGTTGTTGTCGTGTTGATATATGTGAATCATTTGTTTTTCTACTTGAAATTTGATGAAAATTTGCTCTGTTTGCTTGGTTTCTGGCATTTTTTGCGTCTTGAATTAGTAGCAAAATTCAGGAAAGAGGGGAGCCTTCAGAGATGGAACCATCATAATAGTCATATGACTCATATGAATCATATGATGTTTTGATTCTTACCTTTCACTCTTAGTTTACTGAATTAGGAATCAACTCCCAAAGTCTAGTAATAGATGTGATTCATGAGTGATATCCAGGTCACATCCTTTGCAAAGTCTAGACCAAAAAAAATAGAAGTCCTGACCAAAATGTGAAATTGAAGTCATTATTTTTGTATGTTCCAGTGTTAGTCATAAGTGTTAATCAAATCAAGTAATTAGGAAAAATATTGGCACTTTAAAGATGAAAATTTTGATCACTAGTTTATACTGATAAGTGATAACCTTGTTATGTGACTAATCATGCGCTTTTGCATGGTGCTGAATAAAACAAAAAGGAAGATATTCAGAATAAAATTTTGATGCTTAGTATGATAAGTAGGACAGTCAGTAAAAAAGGGTTATTCTCATTTCTAGTTATGCATCCCAGAAAAGGACAGTTGATTCAATTTTATAAAGAGAAAAATAGATATACTATCGAGCAGCCAAAGATGTCACAGTAACATAATTTGTGGAAGAAGTTTGTTCAGCGATCTGATGTGAGCCTGTATCAGACGATAGCTGGCGTTGAACAAACCCTGGTGGTTTTGGATTTGGAAGATCTGTTATATCACTTAAAAGCATGGAGATGACGGTTGGCATGTTTGGCCTGTCTTTGGCAAGTTCTTGCACACACAATAGCCCCACATGTATACATCTTACTATCTCAGCCTGAAAGGGTGCACCAGTTATCAACGGGTCGATCAATAAAATGATATTGTCCTCTCTCCACAATTTCCAGGCCTGCAATTGTCATTTCAGCAATCTTAGCTAACTATGCTTAAAGTTAAATGAAAAGTTCGAATATATCTTGGATTCTGAACTTGTTGGCCCTTATCTGTGTCTTATTTTTTTCAAGGTGAAAAGCAACTTACATATCCTAAGAGACTCAGGGAGTCTTCTTGATACCAGAAGTTGTTATTCTTTTTTCCGCTTACTATCTCAATCAGTAACACTCCGAGGCTGAATACATCTGATTTTTCAGAGAAGTGTCCTTCCATTGCATACTCTGGAGACATGTAACCACTGTATTGAATATAAACAGTGCTGTTAGATTAGCAAACCTAGCTTTTGTTTGGCTGAATATAATAGCAAATAGCAGGGTACTTACTATGTTCCTACAACTCTTTGAGTACTAGCTTGATCTTGGTTACCCCCGAAAATTCTGGCCATGCCAAAGTCTGAAATTTTTGGATTGTGGTCTTTATCCAGCAAAATATTGCTTGCTTTGAGGTCTCTGTGGATAATTTTTAATCTGGAATCTCTGTGAAGGTAAAGTAGGCCTCGGCATACCCCTTCTATAATGTTGAAGCATTTTTGCCAGTCTAAAGACTTGCGCTTTTCTGGATCTGCTCAAGAGAACTCGAAATGAAAATAATAAATATGTATTGAAATATTACTAAGGTTATTTATTTGTTTACTTAATATGAAACTAAGTACTGCACTTGTCTATTTAACCAGCCTTTAAATTTATGCTTTGAGTTTCTGTCAATGTTGAGGTGCTGTTATAAACTTATAATGATAGAGACCAACCAAATAGAAATGCATCCAAGCTTTTATTTGGCATGTACTCATATATCAGCATTTTCTCCTCTCCTTCAACACAGCATCCCAGCAGTTTCACTAGATTGCGGTGTTGAAGTTTTGAAATCAATGCAACCTCATTCATAAACTCTTCTGCACCTTGTCCAGATGCTCTTGACAGTCGCTTTACTGCTATTTCCTGTCCGTCTTCTAGTTTTCCCTGTAACAAACAGAGCACCTAAATTTTCAGGTTTTTGGCTTCATTAATTAAGGACTACTAGTATTACTCTGGAAAACTTCTTACTTTGTATACTTGCCCAAATCCACCAGCTCCGAGCAAATTATACTCATGGAAGCTGTCTGTTGCCTCAGCCAACTTGTCAAATTCTAATATTTGCAAGTCTTCAATCACAACTTGGCTTTTGTCTCTAAACACATGTGGGTTAGGTGTTGCTTGGCTTCTCTCAACTCTCTTGACTGGTAAAGGCGGCGCTTTGCCTTTCGATTGAGATCTCCTCCAAAGGAACCATATGATGGCAGCAACTGCTGCTGTTCCTGAAATTACACTGGCTGCAACTATTGCTTTGATGTTTATATTATTACCTGCAAATCAGAAGAATTTTATTTTTTATTATTATACTAACCGTCTTTGTTCTTTTTGACTTTTAGGCTAAAGGTGATGCAAATCCTATGCAATAACAACTAGGTATCAGGTATGGATCCCATCTCCTAATCAAGCTAAACTAGTAGCAAAACTGTTTTAGAGTGACCCAAAAATGTATCTTAATTTTTTTTCATGAATAAAGGTAGTGAAGCAAGAAATTGAAGTAAATGTGTCTGGAGTTGCCAGCTTACTTAGCTCAGATTGCGCTAGCCGAAGGTAGAGATCAACCCCGCCAGGGGAAAGGTCTGCGACATCAATTAAGTTTCCACTCCATGTCAAACATGTGATCTGGGTATCATATGCATAAGCCAAACAAGAGCAATTTGTAAGGCATGCACTTCTGCACTGATCTATGTTCAATCCCGTAATCAATTCAGCATTTTCTGGCACTTTCATCATCTTTAATCTCAGAAACCCATCTTGTTTGCTTCCTGCTAGACCACATTGCAGTTGCTTTCTTCTTGCACACCCACTCGACCAATTTCCTCTCTTCCATTCCTCTTCGTTTTTAGGTTCAAAACCTTTCAAACAACTGCAGATTGGGGAATGGTAAGGTCTGCAGCTGCCGAATTCCCCACATTTCCCATAAATATCACACACGTTATCTGGAGCCTTCCATGAGATCCCCCAATTCTTATTGCTATCATCCCACCATCTTTGAGCTATTATTCCCTGATAAGTTATTGCATAATGTGACATCAAAGTCTCATTTGCACCAGCAAATACCAGGGAAAGCATTCCACCAACTGTTTCTTGTGTGAATGACCCGGTATTGACCAAGATATTACCATAGCCAGTGTTATGGTATCTTGTCCCTATAAAAATGTTGCCATTCCAAGGACCACTTCGCCAATGTGGACGATCTCCATCCCAGATAATGATTTGGAATAGGCCTAAGGAATTAGTGCCAATTGAGAATCTTCCATTTGATGGGTCTGAAGAGCTTTTCCAAGCTTGCAAGACCCGCCTCAAATCAGAATCTGGGGTAAGGATGAACCTCATGTTTGGTAAAACTGAATCTGCAGGGTGCTCAAAGCTCTGCCATATGATCGTCCCATTTTCACGGGTTGCATTGGATGGAAATCCTTGGACAAGAAGGCTCCCAGAATCCGAAAGTTGAGCAACCGAGAATTTTGTGGCAGGACGAGTGACATTTGAAGACCAAAGTGTCACATTTCTTGAATTCTCAACTTGCAAATTCCCATCAACTGATAATCTAAGCACTCCATTAGAATCAGTTAGAGGACTGTTCCTGTTAGCTACCCATATAACTTCCTTTACTGAAGGGAGATTATACCAGATACCAACGTAGCGATTTGTCGAATTAGTGGGGCTGAAAAACCCCAGCCTAAATAAATTATTGTTGGAGACTATTGTGTCTGGGTCTTTTAGGAACTGTGTTGGTGTTATGCTGCTTATGGCTGAGCATAATTCTAAACCAAGTGGTAATATGTAAATAAGAAATGAATAAATTTGAATCATTTTTTTTATTATTAAAAATCGAAGTTACATGGGAATCATATGGTTTGATCTTGGCTAATTGTATAAATATCTTGAAGGGTTGAAGCACAAGTCTTCTCTTTGTCTAGCACCACATGTATGCTAGTCTTCGCATTGTGAGGTCTAGAACTTGCCGTTGAAAACATATGGACATGCCGACATGGTTGTAATTTGGTTCATATTTTCATATTTGGGAGTTTTGACCTGGTTGTCAGCTTTGACATGTGCTTTGAATGGATTAAGGTTTGGCAGGAAGCTAATGAACTTAACTACTTAAGTTGCTTTAGAATAAAAATGATTAATAATAAGAAGTGCTTAAGAAGTGTTTTAAGGTCTCACCGAGTAATCGACTAGTCGTTTGGTAGCTAGTCGTTTGGTAGCCAACTCCAGACTTATGCCGTCTAATTAATCTGCCGCCTTATTAGCTTCTCTCGAGTACTTTCTCGATATCTTTTACAGGTATGAGCTAATTAGCTACTACTCCCTTGCAATTCTCTCTAATCTAATTATGTTGATTATTGTATAAACTTTACTCTCTTTGTCCTTTATTTTTTTTGCCTCATTTGACTTTTCACGGTCTTCAAGACGCGTGTTCAAACTTATATATCTTAATTTCTATACGCATAAAAACTATAAAAGTTTGATATTAATAAAATATACAATGAGATGATTCTAACAAGACCCCACATGAATATATTATCACTTATACATTATTGAGAATTTATGGTCAAAGTTTTATAACTTTGACCCATGAAATTGCAATGGGGCAAAAAATAAGGGACGAAGGGAGTACTTATCAGGGGAATTACTATATTTGTCATGAAATGACAGTCTATATCCTAAAACTTCAGTTAGTATGACTCAAAATAGTAAAATGTGAAAAGGAAACTACTTGGAAAAGTGGCTAGAATCTGATTAGTACCTAAGTAATAATAATCACCATTATGCTCGAGTCCTCTCATTTGACCATAAGGATTATTCTGTCAGCATCAATGATGATCCCACAGAGTCAACAATGGAATTAATTTAAATTGGTTGGCTTGATTACACCCCGGATTTGTAGGAATAAAAATTCCATCAATTATTTTAGTGGAGCAACCTCAGAATGTAGATTATGTCCTTCTCTTAAAGTTTGTCCAATTTGTATATAGGTTGTCCCTTGAATTTGTTATATAATTTAATTATAAGTACTTCACTCTCACATTCACGAATAAAGAACTATGTTCGAATTAGAACCAATTAGTTCGCAGTCATTGATTTAGGAGCTGAACCGGAGTTGTTTGAAACATTTTAACTATAATAATGTAAATTTATAGCTTCTCTATTCATGCATTTTCTTAGCTACAAGGCCTACAACATTTTTTTTGTTGGTCATATCGAATTTTTATTTGATTAAATTTTTGGATCAGAAAATTTGGTTTGCATTTTGGATGATTTCCCCAGCTTTTCAGTGTGTCCCAGTTCAAATGTCTTTTTATCTTTTCCTGAATTCAGCAGAATTCAATTTAGGGAAGTGGAAAGCCTTTTAGAGCTAGTATTAGCCATATTATATTATTATTCTTTGAACCATATTTTCCAAAGTAAGCTATTTTTAATAGTGCTGTTTTCCTGAGTTTATAGTACTATTTTAAAAATTTTTACAAGCTACTTTCTCCTTTTTGATCAAAGTGACTGATAGAGTTACAAACATGAGTATATGACTCTTAAGTTTAAGAGATGTATCGGTCATCATTTTGCTGACCTATTGAAATCATAGTAATTGATTCATATTTTCAATTGCTCATCCTAAAATAAGAATGTGGAGGGTTCATTACATTCTTCATACATAATTGTGCTATCGGGCAGTCAAAGTTGTAATTGTAACATGATTCGTAGAAGAAGTTTCGTCTGTGATTTGAGATGAACCGGTATCAGCTGATATCTGGCGTTGTGTATATCCGGGTGCTTTTGGACTGGGAAGATCCATAATGTCTCTGACAAGCATGGACATAACCACTGAAGTGTTTGGTCTATCTCTAGCAATCTCTTGCACACACAATAGCCCTACATGTATGCACCTTAGAATCTCCTCTTGGAAGTCTGGACTTGAAATCGATGGATCTATCAGTGTTTCGATAGTGTTCTCATTCCACAATTTCCAAGTCTGAAAACATCGTGTGCATAGTCATTAGAATTTAGAATTAGAAGTACAAATTTGAAGTAAAGTTACTATGAAGTTTGAACTTGCTGTCTAGGATAACTTACATATCCCAAGAGACTTAAAAAATCTTCTTGATACCAAAAACTGCTGTTCTTTTTTCCACTTACTATCTCCAGTAATAACACCCCAAAGCTGAATACATCAGATTTTTCGGAAAAGTGTCCTTCCATTGCATACTCTGGAGACATGTATCCGCTGTCATGTTGATTGAAAATGGTATCAGATAGCATGTTGATAAAATAGCATGACTACGTCTTTGGCTCGATATATAGGTGAGAAAAATGCTGAGTACTTACTATGTTCCGACTACCCTCTGAGTACTAGCTTGATCCTGGTTACCACCAAAAATCCTAGCCATGCCAAAGTCTGAAATTTTTGGGTTCAGTTCTTGATCAAGTAAAATGTTACTTGGTTTTAGATCTCTATGAATAATTTTTAATCTGGAATCTCTGTGAAGGTAAAGTAGTCCGCGACAAATCCCTTGTATAATGTTGAAGCGTTTCTGCCACTGCGAAAGCTCCTGCTTCTGTGGATCTGCACAATTGGTGCCAGAACAAGCCACAAAATAAAGAAAAGGAGGAAATAAATAAAAATTATATTGTGATTTTCAAATTTCTGATAGTATGCTATATTATAGATAGCACTGTTAGAAATCAATTTGTGAGTTTCAGGTGTTGAAGACTATGTTAGACTGGAATTTGCTCTGATACTAACCAAAAAGAAAAGCATCCAAGCTTTTATTTGGCATGTACTCATATATCAGCATTTTCTCTTCCCCTTCAACACAACATCCCAGCAGTTTGACTAGATTCCGGTGCTGAAGTTTTGAAATCAATTCAACTTCGTTCATGAATTCTTCTACACCTTGCCCTGATGCTCTTGAAAGCCTTTTTACTGCTATTTCTTGACCATTTTCAAGTTTACCCTGTAAACAAACATCAGATTATCTCCTGCTAAGTTTTGTTGCATTTTAGACTACATAGAACCATGTTCGAATTGAACCCATTCTTACCTTGTATACTTGGCCAAAACCACCCTTACCGAGCAAGTTGCTCTCACTGAAGCTGTCTGTTGCTATGATCAGATCTTCAAGTTTTGACACTTGTAAGTCTTCAATCATAACTTGGGTTTTGTCTCTGAATAAATATGAATCTGTTGCTGCTTTCTTCCCAGCTTTCTTCTCTGGTATTGATTTGGATTTGCTATATCTATCCGATGTGTGTTTATCCTTTTCCCGAGCTCTCCATTTGAACAGGAAGTATATGATAGTGGCAATCACTGCTGTTCCTAAAGTCACACACACAGCTATGATTGCTATCCTTCTCTTACTAGTACCTGCAAAGCAGAGGAAATTATTTTACATATGCATACTAACATGATCTTTTTTACTAGGTGGGAAGATGAGAATTGAGAAGCATAGTATATCCCAAAGAGTCGAGCATTCAAAATTTCAAAGAGGTATGATTAACTTACTTAGCTCTGATTGTTCAAGCCGAATGAATAGGTCCACCCCTCCAGGCGAAAGGTCCTCTATGTCAATCAAGTTCTCGCTCCATCTCATACATCCAGTACCAGTATCATGTGTATAAGCCAAACAAGAGCAGTTTGCCAGGCAGGTGGTTCTGCACTGATCTGGATTCAGACCTACAATCCATTCAGCATTATCTGGCACTTTCATCATCTTTAACCTCTGAAACCCATCTTCTTTTCCCCCTTGAATCCCACATTGCAACTTCTTTCTTCTTACACACCCACTTGTCCAATTTCCTCTCCTCCATTCTTCTGCGCTTTTTGGCACAAACCCTTTCAAGCAGCTGCAGATAGGTTTAGTCTGCGGATTGCAGTTTCCAAATTCTCCACACATACCATAAGTATCACATACATTTTCCGGGGCATGCCACGCAATTCCCCAGTTTTTCTTGCTATCATCCCACCACCTTTCAGCTAATATCCCTTGATCGGTTATTACATAACGAGGTAACAAAGTCTCATTCGCACCTGTAAAAACCAGAGAAAGCATCCCTCCTACTTCCTCCTGTGCGAATGACCCGGTGTTAATGAGTATATTACCATAACCAGTATTATGATATCTTGTTCCCATGAAAATGTTTCCATTCCAAGGTCCACTTCGCCAATAAGGGCGATCCCCATCCCAGATGATAATCTGAAAAACACCTAAAGAGTTAGTACCAACTGAGTACCTTCCAACTGATGGATCTGAAGGACTTTTCCAAGCCTGCAGGACTTTCCTGAATTCAGAATTATTGTTAAGAATGAACCTCATATTTGGTAAGACTGAGTCTGCAGGATGCTGAAAACTCTGCCACATGATCGTCTCATTCCCACGACTCGTGTTGTTCGGGAATCCTTGGATAACAAGGTTCCCGGAATCTTGAAGTTGAGCTGCTACGAAACCGGCTGTAGGATAAGTGACATTGGATGACCAAACAGTCTGATTCCTTGCATTAGAGACTTGCAGATTTCCGTCGAGTGATATCTTAAGTACACCAGAAGTATCAGTGAGGGGACTGTTCCTGTTAGCTACCCATACAACTTCCAATTTAGAAGGGTGATTATACCAGATTCCAACATAACGATTGGAAGAGTTTTGAGGGCTGAAAAATCCTAGCTTGAAAATGCTATTTTTAGAAAGTATTGATTCTGAGTCTTTTAGGAATTGGGTTGGTGTAATACTGTCAATTGCAGAGCAGATTTTAGAACTGAAAAGAAGAATGTATAGAATTAATGCAAAAGTAGGTATCATTCTTTGCTCAATTGATTATATCATGTATTATTACATTTGGCAATTTAGAGATAATAAAAGGGCTTTCAATTAAGTTGGGTGTGTGTGTGTGTGTTTTTTTTCCTCAGAAATTGAGAGCTTTTTGGTTTTAGGTCTTTGAGTGAAACACGTGAACTTATGAGTGCTTTAAACTAATGGATGTTCTAGACTTCTAGTGTCTTGGTGCTGTTGTTAAGGTTTGTATTGACTGACGACTATGACGAGTAGATTAAAATATTTCCAAAGTTTGACTGGCCGTATTGTTAGATGATTGCGTTATAGAAAAATCTTGATATGTATCTTTAAGATATAAACTTTTATGATTTTTACTCATCTAAAATCAAATATATTAATGATCAAAGTATATGTATTGTTATAATTGGTACTCCTTGTCATACTTGTCATACCATTTGTAACGAAGTTTTTTTTTTTTTTTTGAAAGGGAGCAAGATTAAATAGCAAGAGCATCCATGAGTACATACGGAACGACATTAGTTGGGACACAACTTTCTCAAATTTGCTCTACACCAAAAGGAAGAAAACAAGCTAAATTATGAGCTACTTCATTGCCTTCACGCTCACATGCTGCCATTGAAGACCACGAATTGAAATTGAGATCCCTGTGCCATTGCATTACACAATACGGTCCAGTTCGGTAAGGTGCGTGACTCCCTTTGAAATCCTGTTTACTGCAGTTTGGCAATCTGACTCGATGATTATATAGTCGCAATCAAATCTCTTTCCCAATCTGATCGCAATTTGTAACGAAGTTTTAGATGCCTAATATGGCGAATTATTAGACCTATATACATAATGAATACTTGCCTAGTGGAAAATTATGCATTTCATCTTGAAATTATATGGACCTTACAAGGAACCGTTTTGGAGGTGATGTTTTTCTTACACTTTCCCACCACTTTTAAGCGACCTTGCCTATTAACTCGGGTTGAATAGACATGTGTGAGTTTCTAACTTGACAGGGCGTTTTCCTTAGTTTAAATAAACAAATATGAATCATTTCATATTAACCTATTTAGCTAGATAAAAAGATGATGATCTTACGATGGAAACTAGAAAGTCCACATGATACAACTTTTGTAATATGAATTATGGAGTATGAGTGTATGACTTAGAAAGTGTAGACCGAGGAAATTGCTGGGAAAATTACCAAGGAATTTAATTGGAATTAAAGTAACCTGTAGTTTACTAATTAAAATCACTACAAGATCTATGTATTATTGTATTGGTCCCAACTTCAACAATTGATACAAGTCTTTGACTTATGCGTTGTCAATCTTGCCATTGGCAGTACTAATAGACAATGGAGATGTTTCAAAGTCAACGATGAAACTTTACAAACTTTTGAAAATTTGCAAATGCATGTATGCCTAATCACAAAAACGAATTTTTTTTTTTTAGTATTATTTATTAATTATTAAGTAGAGATATTATTCATACTTCTAGAAAGCTTTTTTTTTTCTTTTTTTTTTTTTTGGACAGGATAGTAAGTGTTGTTAAATGAAAAGAGTGAAAAGAGTAAATATAAAAAATAGAACTTCAACTATTTTTTATTAGATATCCAAAGTTTATGGACATGCAAATATGTAAGCCCTTTTATATATTCAGTGTTTAGCTTTTAAAATTTGTTCTCGCTGAAATTGTGGTTACCAATTGGTAGGAATTACTAGAATACAATGATTCTTTTGAAATTATGTATGGTTATATTAACTAGGGGGACAAATCATTTTATTAATGTTAACATCATATTATTGTGTGAAAAATAGTGATACTTTGAGGGAAATAACCAATACAGACCTGCGGCGAAGTTAGTATGAGTCTTGCAGATTTATTTTTAAAAATGCTCAATGCTATTGCTGATTGTTGCTTACCAAACCCATTTTCATACTCTGTCTCCTACTTTTTTTTCTCTCTCCTTTCTCTGTCTCTCATAGTCTATTTAGGCAATAGTTAGCAATAAATTTATTTTTGTTTTTCTAAGAATTTTTTAATAGAGATGAGAGAGATTAAGTTAATTTACTATGTGATTGGGTCCAATTCAATTCATCTAATTGGGCCAAGTTCAAATAACTCAAGTCAAGCCTAAAGCAAGGTTCAACCCTCCAAAAAGCATGCTAAGGTCAGGATAAGTCCAGTAAGTGTGGTCAGCCCATCTGACCACATGGGCCCAATTCTCTTCAAAGGAGTCCAGGTATAAAAGCCATCAATTTCACCATTTTACACCCATGCAACTAAAGCCTTAAGCACTAAATCTCTTGCATAGCATTATCTCTCAATCGAACTGACTTTAGCATCGGAGGGGCCTTCCTCGGCAACCACCCCCGAGGCTAGTCTACTTGTTCTTTGCTGTGTAGGAAATCCTCGACTCCAGCGTTCTCTAGACCGAGATCAGTCTTCTCCACTTTAAAAGGGCCTGCTAAAGGTCTCATTGTTTTTATCCGAAACAATTTGGCGCCGTCTGTGGGGAAGCTACAAAAAGTTAAGCCAAAAATCCATCACTCCTAGCGAAAAACATGACTAAGAGTGGCAAAAGCGCCAAAAGCGCTAGAAAGAGGAAGGAAAGGGACCTGATCATGGTGAGGCAACATCAGCCGGTTTCACCGTCGCCGGAACCATCCACTCCTTCCTCAAGAGCTCCCAATTCCCAAGAAAGGGAGGCTTTAAGAGCCCTTAACTCTCATAGAAGGGAAGCTTCAGGGGGCTCATCCTCGCATCAAAATCGACAGCCCACGGTTTCACCCGAGCCGAGTGGGACAAATGCGAGGAGCCCCCCGCCAAACAGCAACCAACGCTCTCGATCCCAGTCGAAAGAAACCCCTCTACCGGGGCCCTCTACGGAGAAAGTGGCTAGGGTCGTGGCGGTCGGCATGGAGTTCCTTAAAGCCCAAGGGGCTCAGCCACAACTAACATCACCCGAGCCTCCGTTTCAGCAGCCGAGACACCTGAGAAGGAGAATCGGACAAGAGAAGGATGGACAAGCTCTATCCTATAATGAGCTCGGGAAGAAATGGCAGGAGAACACATGGAACTCCAATAAGGAAAAGAAGAAGAACCCTCACTTCTTCGACCATTCCGAAACTCAGGACGCAATGAGTTTCCGGAGCAGCAATATTACCTCCACATACAAGGAGGAGTCTGCTCGCCGAAGCGTTCATGAACGCCTAGGCGCAAGGGAAGGGGACGTGCACAGCCGCCTTACTCTCCCAGAAAAGACCGGGCCATACCCCAAATTGTCTCGGCCAGGGACGAAAACCACTTCCACCTCTCTAAGAGGGAGAAGCAAGGTCCCTTCAGCTAAGCAAAGAGGGAAGGCCATTATGGTCCCTACAAGTTCGTCTTCCAGAATTGGATACTGGAAGAGCATGTGCCGACAATGAAAATACCGGCGCACATTACTTACGATGGCACCTCGGACCCAAAGGATCACATTGCCTCTTATGAAGGGCACATGTATCTTAACCCCAGGTCCGAGGCTACCTGGTGCAAGTACTTTCCAACAACCCTCAAAGGTGTTGTACAATTGTGGATCATCAAAGGGGTAAAAGAAGGCTCTATCTCTGGTTGGAATGACCTTTTCAACAAATTAAGTGCAAATTTTCTACGGCTAACCGCCAAGAGAAGACAACTGCAAAGCTGATGAGCCTGTAGCAAGCCGAAGGCGAAAGCCTCCGCGATTATCTGACTCGCTTCAACAACGAGTCATCCAGAATTACAAGTCTGGATCAAGGCCTTTCCGTATTTGCACTACGGAATGGTCTGCAGGTTGGAAAGTTACTAGACTTCATGGTCATGCATCCCCCCGCAGACCTTGGAGGAAGCTTTGAATGCCTCGGATAAATTTATTCAAGTCGAAGAGTGGAACAAGTCAAAATCTCAGACCCAATCAGGGGCTGGGAAAACTAAAGGACAGATGTCCGAGGTTCCGCCACCGAGGAAAGGGAAGGCCAAGACCTCAGAACCGTCCTCGGCTACCGAGCCGAATATAGAAAAGGTCATCCCCTATGCGGGGCGATATGATTCGTACACTCCCCTTACTCTTCCTCGTGCTAAGATCTACAGCACGATAAAGGACGAGGGGAGATTCAAGAAGCCTCGGTCCTTGCCACCATGGCATCAGCAGAAAGGCAAGGACCGATGGTGCGAGTTTCATGAATCTCTAGACATCGCACCGAGGACTGCCTTCAGCTGATGAAGGACCAGATTGAGGATCTGGTTCGGAAGGGCTATCTGAAGAAATACTTCGCGGACCGCCGCGAGGAGTAGAAAGCTGAGAGAGACTCTCGGCAAGATCTTGACTTTCTCCGAAGGAAAGACAAGCATCAAGACAAGGACACCCTTGACATTCTTGTTATTTCCGGAGGAGTATCTCGGAGTGCAGTGAAACGCCACTTGAGGGGTCTGACCCACCAAGTCAATCATGCTGAACTCCGGGCGCCTCAGTCTCCGGTGCCGAACATTCTGTTCACAACCAAAGACTGTGAGAGGGTAGTGTATCCCAATGATGACCCATTGGTGATAGTTATGGGCATCGCAAACCGCAACGTCTGGCGAACCCTCGTCGACGGCGGCAGCGGGGCGAATATCCTCTTTCGGGGAGCATTTGACCAGCTGAAGATGGAGGCCAAGCACCTAACTCCAGTAACCTACCCGGTATCAAGATTTAATGGCTCTTCATCATATCCGGATGGGAAGCTTCTTACCATCGGCAAAGGCCTAGCAGTACGGAGCATCATGGCTGAATTCTTGGTCATGGATGCGCCCTCCGTATCAAATGATGATATATGTTTTAGACGAGAGACACTCCGAAAAAATAAAGGGCATCCAAAAGGAAGCCCGAAGATGTAACCACCTCAAGCCATCCAAGGGTCGCCGCAGTGACCGGGATGATGAGGAGGAGAAAGAGCGGGACCGTAGCGCAAAAAACCCTAAAGGCTTAAGTGCTTCGGCCCAAGGAGCCCCGGCAAAGGAAAAATCCTTAGGGGGTGAAAGGGCTAGTTCTTCACCTGAGCCGAAAGACTCAAAGGATCAGCCAAAGTTTGGGAAGCCTGCTGATATTGACAGCAGGCCGGAATCCGAAGAGTCCAATGCCAAGGCTCTGGCATTGGATAAATAAACAGAATCAATAGAGTTGGCCGAAGGAAATTCTGAAAGGTGTGTCAGCATCGGACTGGGACTTGAGCCAAACGTTCGTGTTGAGCTAATCCAACTCCTTCGAGACAACAAAGATGTGTTCGCATTCTCGGCAGAAGAAATGCCCGGGATTGATCCGAACCTCATATCTCATAAGCTTAATGTCGACCTTGCATGTCGACCTATTAAGCAGAAAAAGCGAAACTACTCCGCTCAAAAGAACCAAGACGTCGCAGCCAAAGTCAAAAAACTCTTGGATGCTAGGTTCATCGAAACTTGTCAGTATCCGGAATGGCTGGCTAATGTGGTGATGGTTCAGAAGGCAAATGGTAACTGGAGAATGTGCGTTGACTTCACGGATCTTAATAAGGCATGTCCGAAAATCCTTTGCCGATGATCGATCAGCTAGTCGACTCGACAAGTGGCCATGCCCTGCTCAGCTTCATGGACGCATTTTCTGGATATCATCGGATCTTCATGCACCCCGATGACCGAGCAAAAACAGCATTTGTTACAAGTTTCGGGGTGTACAATTATAAAATGATGCCCTTCGGATTGAAAAATGCGGGGGAAACATATTAAAGGCTAGTTGATCAGGTTTATGTTGATGATTCTATCATCAAAAGCAAAGAAGAAAAAGACCATATTACGGA